TTTTGAGACTAGAGAGTTTATAAGAATATAGTGATAAGTTTGACTTGTTGTGTTGGCTAATTTTAACGACATCCTATAATTTTGTTTGATCGTGACATCTAATTCGCTTATTATAACATACTATTTTGTATTGTGACATAAGAAATAACATATATTTGACCAGCAAATGTGTATAAAGGTAATACATTTGAGTGATTCCATCTTGAAATGTATGAAAAATAGCCCGATAATTTGTGAAGTATAATATGTGACTCACCATTAATCAATATCTATTAATACAGTATAACCACCAATTTAAAAACTTCGAAATGCAAATAATAATCATAAGAATAGCAATTCCTAGTATTAAAAAAATTGTAAAATATCCATGCATGTATCAACCAACATTCCTCCACATAATGATCTTTCATGAAACTTCGTTGAAAAATAATCTGGTCAAACAAAATCTATCATCTGTCATTTAATATATTCTTCTAGGCATCATTGATTTTTGTCACAAAATTTATGATCATATTTATTGTAGAGCTTGTAGTAATTTTCCCTAGAACCTACTGTGTTCAAAATTCTTGTATTTCCATTCTTGCATACATTAGAACGTTAGACATGCCATCAAAATCAAAATTTTTACTAAGGTCACAAACACGTAATATTCATGTTTAACCGTAACCTATAATTGGTTGAATGTGACGTGCTCTTTGTGAGCGCCACATGTTCCACCAAATACATTATAAATTGTGACCTATGCAATAACGTGTATTTGACATACAAACTTGTATAAAGGTGATACAAATGATAGTGCAACCTAACATGAGTGAAAATTAGTCTGCATGAAACCGTGATTGTATTTATCTTGATTGAAATCTAAGGTCCCAAAATCAAACTTGAGGACACAAAAACGAACACTAAACAAAATTGAATAAATGCATCTTCTTTCTCTGTTAACAGATTTCATCTACAATAAAATGAAATGAATATAAAACATCTTCACGTACCAAAGCACATGATGCCAAACTCGAACAATAGCTTAAGAAACATAAAACTAAGGTCACAAGACCATAACTGCAGTCACAAAAACATATGTCGTGAATGACTATGAGAATGTAATCTTTCACATACCCATACGATTCAATCACGCACAAAATACAATTAATGAAAAATAGTTCACAAACACTAACTATAGACCACAATAGAAATTTATATTAGAATTTATAGATGTTAAGTCACATAATCTCAAAAATCAGGTCATATTATACCAAAATTAGGTTAATATATTATCAAAATTAGGTCATAATTACCAAAATCATGTCACGTTTTATCAAAACTAGGGGATCACAAAAAATCCACCCACATCATACAAAACATACCCATACACTGCATTTGATATCACAAAGCACTTAAAAAAAAAAGAAATATATGCACGTGATTGCGGTCACAAATTAACAAAATAGGTCTCATTTTACCAAATTTATGTCACAAAAAACCCATTCAAATCACCCAACATGCCTATACACTGCATTCGAACATAATAATAATAATAATAATAATAATAATAATAATAAATGAAGTGCATAGGAATACCTTCTTCGACGATTTCCCTACGGGAAGCAGACTTCTTCATTTTTTTGGATGTTGATTCTTCATAATTTTTCTTCATTTTCCGTTTATCTTTTCATTTTGGGGGTTCTTTTATATCTTTATTGACACTTCGAGTTAACATCATTTTCTTCAACACTGTTTGTTGAATGTTGTTTAATGAGAAATTGTAATGGTAGGAGGCTTCAATATAAGTTTAGGCTCAAAATTTGAAAAGATTTTATATTCTCTCATTAGTTTAATATAAGAATAATGCTAGATGTACATAACCATTCACATAATGGTGTTGGAATTTTGTATTGGANATGAAAAATAGCCCGATAATTTGTGAAGTATAATATGTGACTCACCATTAATCAATATCTATTAATACAGTATAACCACCAATTTAAAAACTTCGAAATGCAAATAATAATCATAAGAATAGCAATTCCTAGTATTAAAAAAATTGTAAAATATCCATGCATGTATCAACCAACATTCCTCCACATAATGATCTTTCATGAAACTTCGTTGAAAAATAATCTGGTCAAACAAAATCTATCATCTGTCATTTAATATATTCTTCTAGGCATCATTGATTTTTGTCACAAAATTTATGATCACGTTTATTGTAGAGCTTGTAGTAATTTTCCCTAGAACCTACTGTGTTCAAAATTCTTGTATTTCCATTCTTGCATACATTAGAACGTTAGACATGCCATCAAAATCAAAATTTTTACTAAGGTCACAAACACATAATATTCATGTTTAACCGTAACCTATAATTGGTTGAATGTGACGTGCTCTTTGTGAGTGCCACATGTTCCACCAAATACATTATAAATTGTGACCTATGCAATAACGTGTATTTGACATACAAGTGTTTGGTTGCTTTCTATCTTTTTTTTTTATGTAAGAGAAGTAATATTTCCTTGCGTATTGCTTTTCTTAATAGCCCCATCTCTCTCCCCGCCTATGTACTTTCTTTGGAGATAAGCTAGAACGTTCTCCTAAGCGGTTCGACTCTTTTGGTAAAATAAGGTTGGAATCCAAAACCCCATTAAATTTAGACTTAAGCCTAAAAACCCTATCTAAACTTTGATGGTGTTTTTGTAGAAAATGAGAAAAAAGGGGACACTGTCTAACCCGTTTTAAAGTATTCTACAAACATGGGCAACTTGAGAAGTTGTATGCATGTCTTTTCATTTATGAAAATAAAGCGAGACTAAGAAGAATATTAAAAAGACAATTGATGAATAAATAAAGATAAAGAAATGAGACGACAATAAGTAAAAGTATGATATATCATGGGTTGTGATTTTAATCTTCTTATTGCTCATGTAAATAATGTAGGATAAAATAAAGGTGAATTAAAGTAGATAATCAAACCGAAGGCCCGTGTTTACACGGTTTCCTTAAATCGAATTCGCCGCCTCATCGGGGTGCACGAGGTTTTGATCGGTGTTCGATTCCCAGGATACAATCGGTTGTCGGTTCACGTTGCACTACGTTAACCGCCTATTCTCAAACGATTAACAAAGGAAGAAGAAAAAAAATAAACTACAGCTGCCAAAATGGAAAAAGAAGGAAGCTGTTTTTTTTTTTCTTTTGATTGTGCCGGTGTTTGTTGTGTTGTGTGTCTTTCAACCAACAAGAGAGCTCTTCTATTTATAGCACTAGAGGAGGAGTTTGGCTATAAATGACATTGAAGATGATTTCAAAACTGAAGAGGAATGGCCGACTGAAACTGATTTTTCAATGCTGAAACTGTTTTTCATTGAGACTGAAAACTTATGAATTGATTCCATGAACTGATGAAACGTTTTTCATTCATTAATCATTATTTTCCAAAAAATAATATCAAACCTTGAGAAATAACTTGTTTATTTTATACTAAGCACCATTGTCGAGATACACAAATTCAATCAATTTAATTTAAATTATGTAGCTTAACATAAACTTATTCACCAACATAAAAGAAAGCACAACATGAGTATGACCAACAAGAACGACTTGTAATCTAAAGAAGAAAAGTCTACACGAGTGGACTGAGAGATTTGGATCGAACTAAAATAAAGATTAAGTTGTTGTCTCAAATTTAGTAGTTGGACGATTATGTTTACACCCCTAATTTTTACAAAATGATAGTCGACACGTGGCAGCCTAATCTCTAAAGATTCCACTTGAGATTTTTTACAATTAATTGTTCTTTTCATATCAATGTCATTGAACCTAAGCTTTTTATAATTAATAAAAAAATCAACATTAATCAAAATCACCTGTCGGATCATCACCGGATCTATCTTTCATCTTTTCTCAAATACCGGCTGTTACAGGTCATCTCTCAATCTTTCAAAGGGAAATCATTTGGTGAAGCTGGCATTTGCCTGTAAGTCAATGGAATGACCAAGTCAGACTAACCCATCAAAGTATCAACTTCCATGTGAATTGAATCTTAAATTTTGCTTTCAGTATTACGTAAGCATGACATATGCTTACAGGCTTCATGCAAAATACAGGTAATTGCTTAATTTTGAATTATTAATCTACTCGGCCAATTACAGTTAATTAAATAATATAATGCTAAATTGCTAATTAGGATTTCTTTATAGGGCGAGTACTCTTTATTTAATTTAATTTCTTCTCTTCCACTCAATTATCTCGATTACATAGTTGAATTGATTAAGCTTTTACGAAAAACGGCAAACAAAGTTTTTAAAATAACAATCTAGGTAAAAGAAAAAAAAAAATTTGGAGTCATCTTAACTTTCACAATGACATAGTCCATATATTAGCGATCATGATTTAATAGACCAACTTGTTTTCATTCGTCCTTCACTACGTTTCGATTTCAAAAAGTTTCGGATCAAATTCAACAATTTCAACAGGACTCGTGAAGGACGCTAGTTACACGACAAGAATTTTCATTCGTTTGACGGGTTATGACACTAAATTTTTCCTATCTTTTAATTGTAATTAGTTCAATGTCCATTTTTAATTAAAGATTCATGGATTAGTATCTTAGATTGCTTTAAGCTTTGCAATCGTGCGAGGACATTATAATGAAGACAAAATTATCCCAAAAGTCACACACACTTTTATACGGAGTACATATACAGACAACCCACTGAACCAGGAACACAAAAAATCCATCGGAAAAAGGGAGGGGAAAAAAAAAAATCTTTAGCATTGTCGAAAATTATGCCTAGAAATTAAAAGTAGGTGGCGGGTGGCTGCAAATCGTTTATTTTTTTTCATTTTCTTTATTTATTTTTATCTCCAAATCTTTATTTCCCCATTTCCACACATTCTACACACGTCTCTCCTTCTCTGAAATATTACCACTTCACCTTCCGCACCCATTGCTTATAGATAATACAGTGAAATAATAAGTGGTTGGGCGTTTAAGGGAAGGTTGATGAACGATGTCTGTACAATCAGTGTGTCAGGTTGTGCAGTCTGTGAAATTGTTTGCTGGGAATGGTGTTGGCAGCAGTAAAGACTTGGTTTTTGTTGATTTTGTTGGGTTATGTAGTGGGAAAAAGTCGAAGAAGGCTTGTTCGAGTACTCGCAGGAGAATTAGTGTAAATGGTAGTACAATTCAAAAGAGTTTTATTGGGCCAAGGAAAAACTGGGCATCTTCTATTAAATCAGTTCTTGATCTTGAACGGGTTAATAGTGCCTCACAGCAGTCCTCTGATCTTAAACCCAAGGTGGGTAGACTTCAAATCTCAGTAGACACTTTCTGTTTGTGTATTGATTATTTTTTTTATGTCGATTGGAGTTTATAATTGTCATTGATATAACTGCAATGGAGTTAATCTGATTAGTATTTCTTTCCCCTTTTTTTGGTTAATATTATGCTTTGAATTGTTCTAATGTTATCTGAGGTTGACTTCAATTCTTCCTCTCTCTGTGGATAGGCGTGCCTGCCTGAATGTATATACTTTTCTATATGTCAAGGCTTAAATGTTTCCTGCAATTAAAATGGTTATCTGAAATACTGAAGTGTGAAAGTTATTCCGATAAGTACTGTGATTCTTTTTGTAATTTGTGTTTGTGTGTTGGGCAAGGTTGGTTGTAATTTAATTGTAAAGACTAATGGATCACTTATGAATTAAGGTGCACGCTATTTGTATATTTTTGGATATCTGGCTTGTTTCAACTGTTGGAAAATATTGGTTGTTTTTATACAATTTTGTGAATGGTTTAATGTTTGGTGATACGAGTTTTTGTACATAATAGTTAGAGATTGGCAGATTTTGAGTGATACTTTCCAAAAGCAATGATTTGTATTCATTTTTGTCAAAACTTACTTGTTGAAAAGGAAACAGGAATGCTTGTCAAACAGTTATGATGCTTTCACATGCAAAGATTTTTGGGCCTGTAAGTAAAGTGGACGTAGTCGGGATTCCTATTATCACATAAATGATACGTTTAGGTATTTAGATTTGATTATTACAAGTAAAACTTGAAGAGAATGTACACATAGAATTAGAAAGGATTACGTGAAATGCATGTTAGGTTTTTATGTGATCGGAAGATCTCTATAAGGTTAAAAAGAAATTTTACAAAAGAGTCATTAGTCTACACATGCTTTATAAAACTGAGTGTTGAGACGTTAAATATCAAAACATCTACAAGATGAATGTAGTGGAATGAGGATTTTGAGAGGAATGTCTATATGAAATGAGAATATACTAGCACATGTAGAAGTGGAATGAGGCTAGGATAAATAAAGGAGGGACGACTCATGTGGCTGCTGCACATCTTGGCAGACCTAAAGAATCTCCCATTTACAACAGTAGTACAATGCTAGTAGAAATGGCTAAAGAGGGATTAGTAGACTGGAACAAGATGAACATGGCCACACGTGATGGCGAAAGCCAAATTATTAGAAATAATGGCTGTTTGTTGATGTTGTAATGCAGGAGTTGAAATTCGTATTTTCAGTATTTATTTGTTATCTCGAGGTTGCATTGCAGCCCCACTCCAAGTAATGCTTCTGGAGGTAGTTTAGTGTTTTATGTAAACATGTCATTTCTTGGTCAAATATATTTTAAGTTTCCGATAAGTGCCCTGCTAAGGTTTCCTCAACCTCTTTTTAGTAATATTTTGCATTTCGTTGGTAAAATGCTCCTTTTCTTTAAATACTTTTTTTTTGGTTGTTTATTCTTTCATTTTGTTCACCTTCCCTCTATTAGATTTGCCTTTTGTTTTTTCTCGAAAGTGTGATGCAAAAGCATTATATTTTGTCAAAATATGCCATAAACTTATCTAAGGGGGAAACATTGAAGCTCACAAACATATTCTGTTTTATGATTATAGAATATAAAGATGTAGAATTATTTTTCCAATTATATTGCATTTAAGGTTAATAGATTTTGAAGATCGTCCTTGTTATATCAAGGCTTCATAAGCTGCTATTTATCCCTGTGAATTGGTTTATACTTTTAGGTTGTGAACTTAAAGGACATACTATCCGAGAGAGGGGCATGTGGAGTTGGCTTTATTGCCAATTTGGATAACAAAGCATCACATGAAATTGTTAAGGATGCTCTTACTGCTCTTGGCTGCATGGAACATCGTGGGGGTTGTGGAGCAGATAACGATTCAGGTGATGGTTCTGGACTGATGACTTCAATTCCTTGGGAGCTTTTTGACAACTGGGCCAATGAACGAGGCATAGGTGCTTTTGACCGATTGCACACCAGTGTTGGAATGCTGTTTCTTCCCATGGATGATAACCTGAATAGAGAAGCTAGAACAGGTCAATTGATTTGCAGCTTGAATCCCAATTAATATATGTGTACAAGTTTTTATTTGCACTCATGTTTTCCCAATTAATAGAATGCTACTTTAAACACAGATACAAGGGATTTTATGTTTTCAAATTTTGTACAATGTTGAACCACCTCGGCTATATGCTACAAGCCCCTTATGTGTAGGCTGGATTTAGTTTTTATTGAAGGCATGATATGTGCATAATATATGTGAAGCGGAGAGTTTTAAACTCAGACCTCTTACTAATAAGATAATATGTTTAACCACCTCATAGAGAGGCCATATTTATGTATTTAAATTTTCTCTAAACACGTTTAGAGAAGGAAATTTGATTGCTAAAGAGATGGCAAGAATTTTATGGACCACAGGAGAAGGCCAGCTGATGAAATTGGAATTTGTCTTGAAATTTGCACCTATGTTGTCACAGGCAACTTTTCTTGTCCTGTCTGGGTTTGAAAATTGTTTTTCCATTTACTATTTTTGTTATTTGTGTTTAGTTATTCTGGTTTTCCTATCCAATACAATGAGGATGTGTGATCTCTTGGGATTTCCATTGATTGTGCCAAGTTATCAGGCATGCCCTGTTTTGTGTGTTCACTAAAGAGAGAAAAACCTGTATAATTTCTTTGACTAATATCTTTTCTTTCCTTTCTTCTCTGTGTTCATCCCATTTTCTGTTAGGGTAAAAAGCATGGGGATTCTTTTGCTTCGCAGTTTTCATTGCACTTATGAAGTTAGGACGAATAGCAGAAAAGAAGTAATGGAATCACACTTAGTTTAGGAGTTGGAAGGAGCAACTTTTATATGTGGAAGCACTTTAATTACTTCAAAATTGCTTCTGAAATTTGTGAAATGAATCTATTAATGTCCTTATAACTCGAGCATTGAATCCTGATGATCTTTTTTCTACTTGAGGTCACAATCTGTCTACTGATTTTTAGCTGCATATGCAGTTATTTCGAATATATTTAAACAAGAGGGCCTTAAAGTGCTTGGATGGAGGTCTGTACCTGTAAATACTTCTATAGTTGGCCCTAATGCCAGAGAAACCATGCCGAACATACAGCAGGTTTTTGTCCAAATTTCTAAAGAAGAAAATGTTGATGACATTGAAAGAGAGCTGTACATTTGTCGGAAATTGATTGAAAGAGCAGCAAGTACGGAAACTTGGGGAAATGATCTTTATTTTTGCTCATTATCCAATCAAACTATTGTTTACAAGGGAATGCTTCGTTCCGAGGTTCTCGGTTTATTTTATTTTGATCTTCAAAGTGATCTTTATAAGTCTGCTTTTGCTATTTACCACCGAAGATACAGTACAAATACAAGTCCTAGATGGCCACTAGCTCAACCAATGAGGTTCCTTGGTCATAATGGAGAGATCAACACTATTCAGGTAATATTTTCCAAAGTGATGATATGTGTGGTTTTCTACCAGATTTTTCATTGTATTAAGTGAAATCTTTATGCAGGGTAACTTGAACTGGATGCAATCCCGGGAGGCATCACTGAAGTCTCCTGTTTGGCGTGGTCGTGAAAATGAAATTCGCCCTTTTGGAAATCCCAAGGCATCTGACTCTGCAAATCTTGATAGTGCTGCTGAAGTATGCCCAACTGCTTTTATAATCACATAAATCTTAGGTTATCCTTAGAAATATTGACATGACTTTAAACAGGAAACGATAAGTGCAGAAAGTCTAAAGTGAATCTGGGATATAGTCTCATCAGCAAATATGTTAGAAATAAGATTGTTTTTTACTTTAGTATTTTATAAGAAAAAGATATACACTTTTGCCATCATGTGACTAGTCATAGGATAATGTGGTAGATTGTATGGATGTATACCATTACCCAATGCATGAGTTGAATGTATATTGATTTATTGAATCTTACATGATCTCTTTAGTATTTACAGAGAGAATTTTTCGCACTATATTTTTGGTTTATTTCTTTAGGTATTGCATTGATTTTTGAGAGGCCAATTAGTTTGTAATGTATGTTTGATGTAGTTGTTAATAAGAAGTGGTCGCACTCCTGAGGAGGCTCTGATGCTTCTTGTCCCAGAGGCATACAAAAATCATCCGACATTGATGATCAAATACCCTGAGGTATTATTATATTTCTTTGACATCTATATAAATGCTTTTGATAAAGATTGTCTGTACTAGTGCAGCTTAAGTTTGTCACCGAAAGCATGTTGATGTCTTTTAGAAGTAACCTCTTTTTTACTTTTTGTGGGATTCAGTAGAAAATTTTACTTTCTTGACAGTAATTCTTTACCTGATTGGGACTGACCTTATTGTTTTACCTGACTTCAATGCTGCACCTTCTCAAACTAATAGATTAATTCATGATTCTAGTATGTGAATTTATTTATTTATTTTTAACATCATTCTCATGTCGTCCTGGAACCGGTAGACATGACTCATTCTTCTTTCTTGTCAGATTGTTGATTTTTATGATTACTACAAAGGTCAAATGGAGGCTTGGGATGGACCTGCTTTACTTTTATTCAGGTGACGGTTGAAATGCAGCTTTTATCGTTTGAGGTTTATTTAGTAGTTATGTCATTGTTGATGATAAAAATCAGATCAACAAATTCCTTTCACCTAGTCAGGATTTTCGCCTCCTAAACTCAATAATTTTGATACTCAAATCGGAGCAAGAGGAGAAATGGCTATTTGGGATGGAGATATTTGAATTGTGCATGGTTTCTTTCTCTTGCATAGGAGTATTTTCCAATTCAATCATTTAGGAAAATGATAGATGGCGATCCCTTATTGACTAACTTATGTTTGATTCTATTATAGTATCATGTTTTATTCATTAGCTTATGCTCGTTTCTTTCATTGGATTTGAAGTCACGCTTTAAATACTTTCCCATGTGCACCTAATAACGAGGGAATGACTTGCCTATACTTGGTGCGATCCTTTTCTGTATTTTTTATCCCTCGCATACCGATTATGCTTCACAAGCAGAGGACGAGGTTCAAGGAGTGTATTTATTGCTTCAACAATCATTTCACTATCCTTTCAACTCAACACTTTTAGAAGTTGGTGGTTAAGCTTGTGAAGCTATCAGCATTCCTGAAAAGCACCCTTTTCAGAAATGATGACTTTCCGACAGATTTTTTGACCAATTAATGGTGCTTGTTGCAGATAACAAATAGCTGTGATATGAATCTACTATATATAATATCGCTATATTCCCATAAATTGATTCTCTCCATAATCCATTAGAGTCAAGAACGCTGTATTGCTTTTTGGATGAAGATGTTTATTATTTTTGCAATTTCGGTAGTTACATTTTCAAATCTTTAATGTCTGGGAAATGATTTTATGTAACTTCAAGAATTATATTTATTTGATATGTTTGATGATTGGCTAACCTTTCCTTTATAATAACACGAAATAAAATTCCAAGCCATGTCGGAGAGTCAATTAGCACCATAGATAATGTATAATTAAACACTCCATCAACTTCTTCATGCATTTCAATGCATGTATTGATGAGAATTCCAATTGCAAATGGGTTGCTAATTTACTAAATTGCGCCAGAGTTCTCAAGATTGGATCACTAAACAATATCATGTTGAGAGACAAGGGTTGCTTGGTAGACTAAACTGATGTAACCTATGGCACTATTTTTCTTGTTATGATATATTGGGAGATTTACCATAGAAATGACAATGTAAAGAAGTTATGATGCATTAACAGTTATGATTGTCACCTGGTGGTACCGTTGAAAAAATATTGACATATAGCAAACATTGCTGGCATTTTATGTAAGTTTTATTATTCTTTTCTATCATGCGTCAAGCATTCTCTACTCTTAAGCTAACTGAGTTCAGCGATTATGAGGATTTAGTCAAGACCTAGGAAGCGGGTCAGTATTTGGAAAAATGGAACTGTTAAGATTCTGGGTGTAAGTTTGTGTCAAAAAATTTGAAATGAAAACTTTGAGTTCAGATGATAATTGATAGCAGTATCAGAAGGATAAGTGGTCTGTTGCTGGAGGTGCTGGGATTTTTATGGAAAACTGTGGTTTTGATCTTCTTATATGGATGAGGCAGAAATATTTCTGACAAGCGAGTGACTTGATGCAATCAAAAATTATTGTTCATGAATGCGTGAGATGGACACAATGTACGATGGCAGTAGATTGGAGACTTCGAAGTTGGAAGAGCGTGGACTTGATGTGAGGAGATGAAGATGGGGAAACTGAAAGCAAAATGTTTATTCTATGGTCCACCTCATCGGAAAGCTTAAGCTACTAGAGTGAGGATAAGTTTACTTATTTAAAATAGTCTTCAACATGACCCCTCATGTGCTGTCTAGATTCATTTTTGATCAAAGCCCGATTACATGCACAATCTTCATATATAGGTTACCCTACTTAGATACCACATTAAACCTCTTCATCTAAAAGCTTAAGCTTTTAGAGAGTGGACATGTTTATTTATATTTAGCCTTCACAACACACATGTAGGTCTACTGCCCCCTAAGATTCTCAATGCAAGCAGTGTCAAATTAGTGCTTTTACTAATAACCAGATGCACAAAGTGAACCCTGTTTCCTGGAATGAAGTCCACGAGAAGTAATATGATCTTATATCGGAAACTCATTCAAGTCTGAACAGGTGTAGAGTGTCTCATAGGGGAGACGGCCAATTTCTGCTCTTAATAAGAGGTAAAATTACCTTATTTTTTGTCCTATATGAGGTGCTCAGGAGTTCATTGTCAAGATTAAGTGTGGGGTGAGTAGTCTAAATTGTGAATCTTGGCCAATGGCCACCCAAACATAGGGCATGGTTTGTTGTGGTTTTTATTTTAGATTTAAAGGAGTTTCAGCTCTCCGTTGGGTGTTATTTGTTGTCATCTGTTTAGTTACCTAATTGTTGTTAAGTTATATCCTTGATTTTTGAGTTCTGAAACTAAGTGAAATTTTTTTCTTGGATCTATTACTTTTATGCTTAATCATTTTCGTAAAGTTATTAACCACTAACAATTTGAATTTCTACGTGTTACTTTAGATCCAATGAGTTGTTTTTTTTTTTTTGTCAAAATTCCATTTCGAGGATTGAATAAATGGTTTAAAACCCCAAAGAAAAAAGATAATACCGTTCAGTGAATTACTGTTCATTCTCTAAAATAAAATTCGTTAAGAGAGTTTGGATGCATGCTGATATCAATATGTGAGCAGATTCTGATTGCATCATTTGCCAGCATTTCTACAATTAGTCAAGTATAACACAACAACCTCTTTTTTTTTCTTTCTTTTTTTTCCTCATAGTCACATCCTTATCTTATTTGCCGTCATTTTTGACAGTGATGGGAAAACAGTTGGAGCTTGTCTGGACCGTAATGGTCTTCGCCCTGCTAGATATTGGCGGACAGTAGACAATGTTGTCTATGTCGCATCTGAGGTGTGTTTATTTTTCTATATCTGTTCCAGTCCCTTCTCTAGGTTTTAACTTTTCTAGAAAGCACACTAAACTCCTTTGATAGCGTGGAAGGCCGAATGCCCTTATTATGAATAAGACTTGGGGCTTGTCTGGTGTTGAAGAATTAGAGAGAGCACAGCCTCCTGGTATAAGCTTACAATCTGAGCCAATACTCCAATCTTCCAGATCATGCTCAGTATTAACAAACTGGCTGAAGCTCAACACAAACTCAATTGGAGCTTGAAGTCAAACTGTAGCTCTACTTCGTTCACTGCCTATGGTGCAATAGAGGAAGACCTTTAGGATACGAAGCATTGACCATGACATTAGAAAATCTTTTGTAGAAATCTGTTTTATCTGGATTAAGAATCTTATGCCAGTCTTTGAAAAAATTTCTGATTCCTCATATGAAAGTGGTGGTGTTTGGAAATGGATATTTGCTGATGAATTGAAACCAGGTTTGCCAGACAGTTCAATAAAATATCTGTAATATTATTATCTTTCTTGAACTGCTTAGTCAGAAAACTACTCATCAAATTATGACTAGTTTTTCTTCTTAATTATGCTTACATTCATACATAAAATGATATCCTAATTATAAATTATCTTGTTCTTTTCTAGGTTGGCGTCCTACCAACGGATGATTCCAAAATCATAATGAAAGGACGGTTAGGTCCTGGAATGATGATAACTGTCGATCTACCCAGTGGTCAGGTTTGTGCAGAGATCTAACATTAATTTTGATTCCTTTGGGATTAAATTTTTGGCATTGGCGACTCTGTTAACAATATAGAACAATGGACCTTTTATTGTCTTTGCATTGAATTACTATGTTGACTTTTCACATGTATCTTCTGTATCTTTCCATGATTAACTACATTTTCACAAATATTATTTAAATTGTCAATCCAATATCCCAAAGTCAATATATTTTCAGGAAGGTTAGATGGTGTTACAAGTTTACGAAGAAACACACATTTTATAATGTATGTCTAGGCTTCAATGAGGTTAAATATTTGAATCATACATTTCTATTCATGTTAGATTTGGATTTTGAATATTAAAGAGCTTATGATTTATAATACATCATATTCTTTTTATAATAAATTAGTAAATTGTTCATTATTTTATGCAGGTGTATGAGAATACAGAGGTCAAAAAGCGAGTTGCACTGTCAAATCCTTATGGAAAATGGGTTACTGAAAATCTCCGTTCTATAAAGCCAGCAAACTTTCTTTCATCTACACTAATGGACAATGAAGTAATATTAAGACGCCAACAGTAAGTCCTTGGAAATTTTATAGTTAAATATTCATTTTTTTTTAATTTTTGGTGGGGGGCGGGGATTCAGATGCTTTACATATGCCAGTACTCTTGTAACCTTGTTCGAGCCATGGGTGTGACTTGTGCCAGACTGCAGTATCGAGTACTTTGGCTTGTCATGAATTTTTTATTCTTTATGACAACAGGGCATTTGGCTATTCGAGTGAGGATGTCCAAATGGTGATTGAAACTATGGCTGGTCAAGGGAAGGAGCCTACTTTTTGCATGGGGGACGATATTCCGTTGGCAGTATTATCTCAAAAGCCGCACATGTTATATGATTATTTCAAGCAACGGTTTGCCCAGGTATGGAACTTTTTTTTGCGAAAACAATGTTTAGTGCTCTAAAGCAACTTCAATCTTTCTGCAGATTTGGCACTTTTAGATGTTTGTGTAAGTACTGAAGTTTTTTGTTTGATATCCAATCACTTTCTAGTTAAATATGTGAAGTGTGGGATTCTGGAGAATTTCAATATATTGTTTTCTCTTTTTGTAGCTTTATATATTATTGGTCCTATGAAGTTAATTTTCTGTTATCATAGTTCCAGATTGGCAGTTAAATTATCTTTCTGAAAATATCTTGTTGCTAAACTTTTTAGACTTTGTTTCATTCATAATGGGGTTTTGTGATTGTAAATGTCAGGTTACAAATCCTGCCATTGATCCTCTCAGAGAAGGATTGGTCATGTCTCTTGAAGTTAACCTTGGGAAGAGAGGAAATATACTAGGAATTGGTCCTGAGAATGCCTCTCAGGTTCTTCTTCTTTTCTTTATTTTCATTTAAAACACAGAGGAACACAGAGGAAGGCTTCTTGTTTCTTTCATATCTTCTGAATTTACACTCGGTGTAATATTTAATCTTTTCTACACTTCTATTTTCCTTTTTGTTTGTGTTTTGAGCTTAGTGAGTTAAATTTTTCAACCAGGTAATTTTGTCAAGTCCTGTGCTGAATGAAGGGGAGTTTGAGTCTTTATTGAAAGATCCATACTTGAAAGCCCAAGTATTACCTGCATTTTTTAACATAAGGAAAGGGGTTGATGGTTCGCTGGAGAAAACACTTACTAACCTTTGTGAAGCTGCTGATGAAGCTGTTAGAAATGGTTCTCAGCTGCTTGTGCTTTCTGATAGGTCTGATGAGCTGGTAAGAGCACAATTCATATGTGCCCACTTTTATCTTCTAGTTGCAGTGACATAACACAGCCTTTCTTGCATCAGATTGCCCGGTATAATTACGAATTTAAGGTTTTAGATGCCATTCATGAGTCAGTCTCCCTCAGTCCCATTCAAAATTCACTTCTTGGAGTATCATCTTTTTAAGGAAACATGCCTTTGTTACCTGCCTCTGAGATTGTCCACATCTATTTTCCACACTACCGTATAAATAAAAGGATAAATGACATTATTAGTGGAATAAAATCTTGAAAAATCCATTGATACAAAAATAGTTCAGGAAACAAGTCGTAAGATTAGATTCCTTTTTCAAAAGATGGTCTGGAACAGGAAAGTGTTACTGTAACAATTGGTTGAAGGGAGCAAGAATATTGTGGTTCCTTGTTGCTTATAGCTTTTGTAGTTTGTTGATGTTAGAATTTCTGGAAAAGAGAAATCCGTGTTATATTTATAAGTAGAATACAATAAACAATACAATATATAATTACAATAGTTGACTAACTTTGGCTATTGTAGTGGAAGCTACCCTAAATTAGGAGCTACAAATCAGTATCTAAATTACAGTAATTACAATGATGAGGTTTGACATATTGTTTATGATAAATTATAAATCAAAGACTCCTACAGATATCTTACAATTTGGTTCCATTTAAACTTGTTTTATCTTACTTTTATGTGCAAATTAACATCCTTTCAACTGATAGGCATGTCCTACAATAACCAATTTTTAAAAATGTTTTCCTAGTCTCATCCACTATCTAGCCTTTTTATTGTTAGGTTGTGCATCCAGATAACATTTGCTTTTTCCAGGAGGCAACTCGGCCTGCAGTTCCAATACTTCTTGCTGTGGGTGCTGTTCACCAGCATCTAATTCAGAATGGACTGCGAATGTCAACTTCTATCATTGCTGATACTGCTCAGTGCTTTAGTACTCATCAGTTTGCATGTCTGATTGGATATGGTGCAAGGTTACTTCCGTTATCTATGACCGCTATTTGATTATTTGCTTTCAACAATTATTATTGGAGAGATTGTCATTGCATTTGACATAGGATAAAATTGTTTTTATGTCCTCCAGGCAATATTTGATATATCTCGGTTTATTATTTATTGTCATTGCATTTGACATAGGATAGAATTGTTTTTATATCCTCCAGGCAATATTTGATATACCTTTTTGTTGTAGTTTCTCTATAGTAATTCTTTTTATTTTAGTTTGGCTGTGCCCTTGATTTATTGAAATTACAGTTTTTATATTGCATCTCTCTCTCTCTCTCTCTACTCCCTCCGTCCCTCCCTCCTTCCTTCCTTCCTTCCGTCCTTCCTCCCTTCTTTTTTATTTTGGTACATGGGCTAAAGAACTTCTTGCACATGTATTGACAAATGGAGTACAGAATATCTCCCTTTAACATATTCAAAATTTCTGCTTCCATAGTTCAATTCAATTTTGTTCATTTTTTATTTGTGCATCTCTTTGTTGTTTCAACTGCCATTTCCTTAGTCTTCTCTTTATATCTTTGCAGTGCTGTATGTCCATACTTGGCACTTGAGACTTGCAGACAGTGGCGCTTGAGCAATAGAACTGTAAACCTGATGCGGAACGGGAAAATGCCCACTGTTACAATTGAACAGGCTCAAAAGAACTTTTGCAAGGTTCTTATATTTTCTGGTCACAATGTTCTTTAGATGTTTATTGCTTTTGTTGTTGTTCTTTTATCCATGTTTATAAGAGTCATGTTTCCTTTCGCTGGATTCATATTTTGTTGCCTTTTGTTGGTTAAAATCGAATCATTATCTTAAGTGACATTCATATCAAATAGTTACAGCTTCATGATATTTCTTAGTTCTGCAAAATGTGCCTGAGATCTCCTAACATATCTACTATTACAAAGAGAATCTTCTACATGTGCAATATGAATATTTGTGGATCCGTTTCCAATATTTGTTGAATGTGTAGACATTGCCTGTATTATACTCGAATTCAGGACCCTATATCAGTGCTGCATAGCCTGGATATTCTTGATATGATGTTCACACATATGAGAAGTTCTGAATGTTTAGTGTTCCAAACTTATTATATGATGCTTCTGCTGTGTAGACGTGCAATTCTTAAATTTTTTTTCGGCAACCCATCCTTAGGTATCCTTATCCTTCTTTAAATTTCTATGCTGTAAGAATTTTTTAGGATGTGCATGCCCTTGAGTTATTTCTTTTTTGCAAGTTTGTGGTATTGGAAGTATTTAACTTGTTAGGTTCCAAAGAAATTGTAGGACATTCACCAAGTTTAATATAAGTGTTCATATATGTCAGTAGAGTAGAAACGCATATTAGAGAGTACAAATGCAAACTAGAAGTGTTGGGTTTATGGAAGCACATGATTACACGAACTGTGAACTAAATAATAGATGAACCCATTTGAATGAAGTAGAAAAATTCAGAAGAATTAGATGGGAAATCTGCATCCCATTTAAAAATAATTTTACAATCTAGCAGAAAGATGTATGATTCTAGTTTTTTCTATGTAAACTTCTAGGTGTTTCCATGGTTGGAAATTACCGGGCTAATTATTTTACTTTAAATTCTTGATGATTCAAAAATTGTTTTAAGTATTTTACTTTTTATTGGATCCCTGGAGACTTTTTTTTCCTTAGTTCTTTGTTCCCTGGAGGAACTTTCTGGTTGACTATGCTGAATGGGAAATAATTGTTCTAAATTCGATTCCAGGCAGTAAAATCTGGCCTTCTGAAAATTCTCTCCAAAATGGGCATCTCATTGCTGTCAAGGTACATGCTTATGTCAAAGCCACCTTTTAATATGTAGTTTCTCATTATCCCGGATTTGTGGCCTATATTACTTTTTTATCTGTCTTTCTTTTTACATAATAAATATTGCTGAAAAGTACTTGGCTTTAGTTATTGTGGCGCTCAGATATTTGAAGTTTATGGATTGGGCAATGAGATCATTGATATCGCATTTTGTGGGAGTATGTCGAGCATTGGTGGTTTAACCTTGGACGAGGTAATGCTCAAAATAAGAGTGAAGCACATTGTTGTATAGTTGCACTGGCCCTTGTTCTTATTTTTAATATAAAATTAAATTATTTTATTTTTTGGTGGGATGACTACAAATTACTTTTTCCTAAAATTTAACCTCTCCTGCTTATGACATATCATTAGATTTTTTAACCTGCACAGCTGGCTTTTCACATTCATCTCTCTTTGGCATAATGTGTTCTCAAAAACCAAAATGATGTAATGCTTCCACTGTTAAAAGATAACTTATTACTTGAGAACCTATCTTTGATCCCGTCTTTAAATTGTTGGAGAGTAGTGTACTAGGAATTCAAACTCAACACGGAGCTCTATTTTATTGCTCTTTTGCACTTATAAACACTTTAGAATGGCTTATTGTCTGTGGTATATATCTTTAAAAATATTGCTGAGTCTCGCTAAAATGTTGAGAAGATGGTGAAAATATTTAAAAGACATTAACTATGTAAGTTAATGTCTAAGTTTCTTATTATATTAGAAACTTCAAGAAATGTTTTCGTGATAAGAAATTTAGACCAAACACAAGATAATGAACTTGATGAATAATAAGATTTTCAGCATGATGTTGTCAACCTCTGATATCTTTGCAAAAAGTTTGCATCTACTGCATGCTATCAAATGAATGTTCTTTTGGGAAATGTAGAATAATACACCTATGGAAACTAAAACCAAAGAACTGAAATACGACTTCAGATTTGATACAATGATTTGCCATAACGATATATGGCAGTGTTCTGTACTTAGCTTCAATGTTGACATATCCATACTGTTTATATCTTGCATTAACAATAGCTAAATCTTGCAGTTGGCGAGGGAGACCCTCTCATTTTGGGTTAAGGCTTTCTCTGAGGATACAGCTAAAAGACTTGAAAATTTTGGGTTCATACAATTTAGACCTGGAGGTATATGTTTTTGACAAGTTGAAATGTCTGAAGAACTTATACTTTGTACACCTATTGTGGTTTATGACAGAATTTTCAATTTATAATGCATGCGACTTTTATGTCTTCATTGGACCAACTTTTATTTTATTTCACTAAGAAATGCTAAACTCTTTTGCCTCTTTAATTCTAAGGCGAATATCATGGTAACAACCCCGAAATGTCAAAGCTGCTCCATAAAGCTGTCCGCCAAAAGAGTGAAAGTGCTTACTCAATTTATCAACAGCATTTGGTTAACCGGCCTGTGAATGTGAGTTTCTGAAATTAATATAATGATTTGATTCTACAGAAAGCTCTGTAAACTTGGCATGCTCATTTGACACCTTTGGTGCATTATTATTGACACTTCACCGGATGATCAACAATCTTTGAATGCTTTTTATACTTGCCCTGATTGCAGGTTCTCAGGGATCTCCTTGAGTTTAAAAGTGATCGTTCCCCGATTCCAGTTGGAAAGGTAGAACCTGCTACATCTATTGTTCAGCGGTTTTGCACTGGTGGCATGTCACTTGGAGCTATTTCCAGGGAAACTCATGAAGCGATTGCTATTGCCATGAATAGATTGGGTGGGAAATCTAATTCAGGAGAAGGGGGTGAGGTAAACAACTACGTTGGATCCGGATGGAACGAGTCCAGTTCGATATTTTACAATACCATTGATTCAAAATCTGAGTGCAAACAGGAACTCATCAATTGAGCCCAAACTTGACAAGAGTCTGAAAAGTCAACTAAATCCATATCGAAATTATTAAAATTATGAGACAGTAACTGCCAATTAAACTTCATATATCACGATAATTTTATTATACTATGCATCTTAGTAGGAAGGGATAGGTAATTAGATAATCTACGTGAATTTGAATCCTCATCCATTTCATTTTGGCCTTCTAAACCAAATTTTTGTTAGTATCATGAAAATTAATGGCTTTTATTGTTAGATTTTAGAAAAGATAAGAAGAAATTTTTTAAGTTGGAATGTGATTAATTTCAGATAAATATTATATTTACCATGGCAAAACTTATTGTGCTACATTTACTTTATTGAAATTTCATCTTCATCCAGGATCCTATTCGCTGGAGTCCACTTACTGATGTTGTTGATGGGTACTCTCCAACATTGCCGCACCTTAAAGGTCTTCAAAATGGTGATACTGCAACTAGTGCCATCAAGCAGGTGCGAACACTATCCGTTCATTGCATGTTTGGTGAGGAGGATTCAGTAGCACCTGAACATTATTAAGGATGAAAAACAAGCTAAAGTCTTGCTTGTTATGCCTTCCACTCTTGTCTAGTGCTACTTACCAACATGCACTCATAAGAAGTATTATCAGTAACAAAAACTACCATGGTTATTTAATTTGATCTTTCAGGTTGCTTCAGGACGCTTTGGTGTTACTCCAACATTCTTGGCTAATGCTGATCAGCTAGAAATCAAAATTGCTCAAGGTGCAAAACCTGGTGAAGGCGGACAACTGCCAGGGAAAAAAGTTAGCGCTTATATTGCAAGACTAAGGAACTCAAAACCTGGTGTCCCTCTCATATCTCCACCTCCACACCATGACATTTATTCTATTGAGGATCTAGCTCAACTGATTTTTGACCTTCATCAGGTGAAGATATACAATATACAATATATTTGTACTTTTCTGTAAACGCCCGAAATTATGTGATTAGAGAACTATGAGATTCATATTTCTATTTAATGATAATGATCAGGTCAACCCTAAGGCCAAAGTATCTGTAAAGCTTGTGGCAGAAGCAGGCATTGGCACAGTGGCTTCTGGGGTAGCAAAGGGTAATGCTGATATTATACAGGTATAAATCAAAGATGATTCACCTTTTTGCCCGAAGTCGAAGTGCTGATAGCATGTTTGTCTAAGCTTCAAAAGGCTACTTATAAAGGAAATAAGTAAGTTTGAAATAAATAAATTTTTTTTCATCGATGAAAGTTGGGAATAAGCAAGTTAGATTATCAAAACATGATTTCTTTTTGCCCGAAGTCGAAGTGCTGATAGCATGTTTGTCTAAGCTTAAAAAGGCTACTTATAAAGGAAATAAGTAAGTTTGAAATAAATAAATTTTTTTTCATCGATGAAAGTTTCGAACAAGTAAGTTAAGTTATCAAGACATGATTGGAAACAAAAAATTTAGTTACTTTTACTTTTTTAAGCTCAGCAAAACATTTTTGGCCCTCCATACGATACAAAGCGTAAATTAAGTTTTTTGTTTGATAGCGCAAAGAGACTCTGGGATGCTGTCGGTCTTACATTTTTCGAATGCTATAATTATCTAGATTGTTTGATATCGTCATCATGAAATGTGAATCACATGCAAACACTTGCATGTTGTAAAAAATCATGGAATGCTATTCTTGTACGGTAGACAACAATTGTTACATCAAACCATCATTAATATAGAACATAATCATTGTGGTGTAAAATAGAACATAATCAACTGACAACCTTCACTAATATTTTTGACCTGGTTTGCAGATATCTGGGCATGATGGGGGAACTGGAGCCAGCCCTGTGAGTTCCATCAAGCATGCTGGTGGTCCTTGGGAACTCGGGCTTACAGAAACGCACCAGGTGGGCTTGATAGTTTCAATATATGACCGCTTCCTTCTTTCCCATCCATCTTTATCTGAAATCAAATTAACATTTTTTTTCCTTTATTTTTTGGGTCTGGGGGTTTTGCTATCATTTAAAGACACTCATTTCAAATGGACTCAGAGAGAGAGTTATTCTTAGAGTTGATGGTGGCTTTAAAAGTGGATTTGATGTCCTAATGGCTGCAGCAATGGGTGCTGATGAGTATGGATTTGGTTCTGTAGCAATGATTGCCACTGGCTGTGTGATGGCTCGTATCTGCCACACGAATAATTGTCCTGTTGGTGTTGCCAGTCAGGTGATAAGGATTCTTACATAATACTGGCGCTTTTTATATTCACCTTGTGCATCGCCTAGAAATTTCTGATTTCTTTTATAATATTTAATAATATCTTCAATTTAATTTACTTCAGAGAGAGGAATTAAGGGCTCGTTTTCCTGGTCTACCTGGTGACCTGGTCAACTTCTTTTTATATGTTGCTGAAGAGGTAATCTGTATTTCGGCATATATGAATTTTGTCACAAGATGCTTCAATCTAATCATGTTTCAGGTTTCTTAAGAGTTCTAATTCCTTTGCTTATAATGTTAATGCAACACAGTAATACGTGCGAAGTTGCTAAATCATGAATATTAGTATAATAAGATTGGTCTCCTGAACACCTGTATCTGACTTCCTCGTACTGCTGCTAATTTAAGAACATTCAGCATTGAAAGTATAACTGGGGGTTGGGGTTGGGTGCTGAACAGATGCTCCTGCGAGTGAAATTTCCTTGCTCGCCAAAACAAGTTTCTGTTGTAAAGAAGACGACTTGGAGGGATATTGGCCTTGTTTCTTCCTTCCACTAATTTCTGTTTTCTGGCTTTGTGGTGGGTGGGGGGACTTTTGGAAATTTGAGGTTGTCAGGAACTTCTACCTTTTTGAAAATGAGCAATTTCTGAGTAAGAGGAGATAAAGAGGAGATATTCTTGTAGAAAAAACTATATTAAGCATCCTAGACGAAGGCTTTAGGTGAACCAATAATATGTTGTTCGTGTCTGATGTGATAAATTAATGACTATAAGAATTAGTTAAATTCAATGTTGAAAGGCTGGATTTACAAGTTATTTAGCTTCTAACTTCTTGAACCTTTTCTATGACATGTTTATGTTCTTTTTAAAGCACATGTTAATGATTTCTTGACAATATTTGGCTAGGTAAGAGGTATGTTGGCCCAACTGGGCTACGGAAAACTGGATGACATAATTGGACGTACAGAGCTACTAAGATCTCGAGATATTTCATTGATGAAGACTCAGCATCTTGATCTTAGTTATATTCTTTCTGTAAGTATGCGATATATACTTCTAATCCATTTTTACATGAATCAATTTTGTCTTTCATAAAATAACGTCCACGCCTTTTGTTTTTAGAGTGCCGGATTGCCAAAATGGAGCAGCACTATGATTAGGAATCAGGAAGTTCACAGTAATGGTCCAGTTTTGGATGATGTCTTACTTTCAGATCAAGAGGTAATAATTGTTGCAATTAAATGAGTTTCTTTTTTTCTACGGACGAAGAAAAAGAGTATTATCAGTTGCTCAGTTGATAACTTCATGAATTTTTTATTATAAATTCTTCAAAACTATCAGAAATTTCCGTCTAAGAGAGTTAGGGAAAATAGCAGGTTATTATCTTTCCTTAAAAAGGAGCATGTCCAACTTCAACAGATTCCATGATTATTTCTTGGATGCACATTGAATGATTAAAATTTCACTATTCTTTCAGCTTGTTAAACATGTAGAGGCTTCTTTTTTTGCTGCAAAAAGTATATGGGTTTCACCTTGAAATGCCATTGTAGGAAAGCTAATAAAGTATTATATGATAACTAGTAGTCCAGGGTTGAATAGCTAGCATAGGATCACCCACGGGCATATTTTTGCACATCTTACTTAGGTTTTTGTAATGTTCTCCAGACAAAGCTGTACTACAACAATATTTACTATCATCAAGTGGTCTATATTTTTCATAAAAGAGAATCAATTTTTAAGATTTTTCATGCTTCTTTATTTGGACTTCTGTTTCTGACTAATCTGGATTTCCTGTCTGTCTGTATAACACCGTGTCATTTATGGTATTGATTATCTAAAACAATGTTCTCCTATCTACAGGTATCAGAGGCAATTGAGAAAGAACTGGTGGTTAATAAAACTGTAAATATATACAATGTGGACAGAGCAGTTTGTGGGCGTATTTCAGGTGTGATCGCAAAGAAATATGGAGATTCTGGTTTTGCTGGGCAGCTAAATTTAACGTAATATAATGGCTAAGGCAGAAATTTCATTCCACTAGTGTTGTTATTTTATTATACAATGACCTTTTTTGAAGCTAATGATGTATTTCTTTCTTCATGCAGATTCACAGGGAGTGCGGGGCAGTCATTTGCATGTTTTCTGACACCTGGAATGAACATTCGACTTGTAGGAGAAGCTAACGATTATGTGGGGAAGGTATGCTGGTCAACCTTTTACACTTGAATCATACAATTGGTTGATGAACTTCCATTGAAATAATTGCTGTTGTTGCTGTTATAATGATTAGAATGACATCATTTTCATTCTACTTCTTTCCAGCATTAAATTTTATGAGTTATGACATGTTTGCTAGGGAGGACTATAGAACTTTATCATCCCCTCCTTTTATAGCATCTAATACATAAGTTTGTTTTAGGGTATGGCCGGAGGTGAATTGGTTGTGACTCCCGTTGAAAATACCGGGTTTTTGCCTGAGGATGCAACTATTGTAGGGAATACCTGCTTGTATGGAGCCACAGGGGGTCAGGTCTTCGTCAGAGGGAAAGCCGGGGAGCGTTTTGCAGTAAGAAACTCACTTGCTCAAGCAGTGGTGGAAGGAACTGGAGATCACTGTTGTGAGTACATGACAGGAGGTTGTGTGGTTGTGCTTGGAAAGTGAGTATTCTCATTAATAATGACCATATGATATGGAATGTTTATGTGTGGGGGTTTTCCATATTCTGAGTTTCTGTCTTGCTTTTGACAGGGTGGGTAGAAATGTGGCAGCAGGTATGACTGGAGGTTTGGCGTACATTCTTGATGAGGACGATACACTCATCCCCAAGGTTTGTTGCTATGTACTTTTTGAGGGGAAATGTATTGTAACTTAAAACCTCTGGTGGTCATTGATTTTTAGCAAAATATCACATTGGTTACTGAACCTCTTTTTGTTCCAAGTTAAGCGAAGTTTAAGTTCAACAGCCGATTTGAAACAAAAATGAAGTTTAGCGTCCCAAATGAAAACTTGATAAAAATTTAGTAAACATCATGGATCACGATGGTGTGTGTATCGTATTTATGTATGTATGTATGAAGATCATATCTCTGTTTCGTGTTTGTTTGGTCACATGTAGAGATGGACTATTTGTAACCGATTGTACAACTATAGTTTTCTGTCTCATGTTATATACCATGTAAAACTAACAGGTGAACAAGGAAATCGTGAAGATCCAGAGAGTGGTTGCTTCGGTCGGTCAGATGCAGTTAAAGAGCCTTATTGAAGCCCATGTTGTAAGTTGAAACATCGTCATACTATCCAGCTTGCAGTTTGTTCAGTTAATCACACTGCTGTCTCTTTATCACATCAAAACCATACATGGATGTCTTCTATATCAATTTCCAACATACAATTTGGATTCTGACTTCAAAACTTTAAAATTTGAAACACATTCCACGTAAAGGAAACCGTTCTGCACGGTTCTTATACTACATGCATCTGTTTTCGTGTCTAGGAAAAAGCTGGGAGCAGCAAAGGCGCTGCCATTCTCAAGGAATGGGACAAATATTTGCCGCTCTTTTGGCAACTGGTTCCACCAAGTGAAGAAGACACTCCGGAGGCTTGTGCCAACTTCGCCCAAACAGCCACTGGGGAGGTGACTTTGCAATCTGCATAGGAAATGACATGATTAGTCGAAGATGGGCCATGTATGCACAAACTTGCAACCTATAACTCAGCAAATATGCATCTGTATAGAACACTCAGTCCCTACCCTTTTGGAATGCAATCACGATTGTTGGTCGATTGAAATTGAAGGTCGTCGTTGGCTGACAAACAACCGATCTTTCTTAGTGCCTTCAGCAGCTGTACAGGATCTTGAAAATAATGTAGGTACTAGGTTGTCTGTATCTGAGGCTGCATTTTCTGAGATTTTCATCAACTCGAAATCCCTATCCCCACCTAACACCCAGTTATGGTTTCAAAACTCTCGAGGGTACTTCTTCATATCCATTTTCTCCATTTCATGTCCAATAATTAGAACTTTCCACAATGCATATGCATTGGTCAATAAAGAATACATCTGTCTCCATAATTTTGTGGAGCAGATACATTAAACTAAGTAATGGATTACTAAGATGCACTGTGATGCATTTGTTTGGTTTCTTGTGCTATTGATTTGTTGTTACTGATCAAATGTGAAGAAGCAGAGAACTTGCAAATAAAATACTTGAAAATACAATTGGTTTAACATATGGAGTTCTATCTATATATAATTAAGTCTCATCTTTATTTTAGAGTAGATCATTGATAGTGGAAAATAATAAAATTACTTAAAAGTTGATATTTTAACTTATAATTTTGCAACGTCTCCTCATTCTTTCAAGCTTGTAACAAGTTAGTCTCAACAGATTCTATCTACTTTAGTAGAAGAGCAAGAGCTAAACATTTCATCATCACTAAGTAATGAATTTCTTGTTACCATCATTTGAAGGTTTAGCTTCCAAAAATGATCAATACAACAGTTTAACCTTATTACTCGTTATCCTTTTTTAAGAATGTGGATGACTTTTCGAGTGAAAACCCACTTTCGAATTCTCTTAATCACGACCGTGTTTCAAGTTCATCGTTATTGAGACTTAGGGTTACATCTTTGTAGAACAATTTTGTTAAGAGTAGTCAACATCCTCGTGTTGATTTCATTTGTGATCGGTGTGACATTTATTTCTTTATATTCAATAAATAAATCTCGAAATTTGAAAAAAAATATGATGAAATTTTTAACACTTCGAAAATGTTAATATGAGGAAAGTGCATACCTAGGAGCATTTGTAAATTATTTTTGTATACATCAATTTGAAGAAGATCTACTACAAATGGTAAATTGATAATTTTTACTTTAACGAGGTACATCCTTTGTAAATTGGTCATATTGTACTGAATATACTCCAAAGTTTGATATCTAATTGTTAACACACCGAAGGTCACGACATAATTGCTCAATTTTTATAGCAATAGAATTATTGAGTTGGAGTATCTCTGCCATAGTAAGCTTTAATTGATCAATTCTACCTTTCCTTCGTCAATTATTTAATTAACTTGCACACACAAATTTAGTCCCCGTTTGGCTCCCATCAATTCAAATTATAATTTTTGGAATAGTATTTTTTTGAGGAGTGTGTAGTTGAAAAGGAAGAAAATTTTTTACTTTACGTGTAATATTATTTTATGGAAGATTGTGTGGTTGAAAATAAGAGAGAGAATAATAAATGTTTAGAATAATGGGGGCCAAACATGGACAAATTACTACGTTGCTGTTAAAAAACTAGAGATTTTTCACTCTTAATACTATTTATGGTTTTATTAAAAATTATATTTTTAGTAGATTTTGAGAAAAGTAGATAGGGTGTGTGATTAAAAAAGCTGATGAAAATTAAGTCATAAAATGGATAATTAAAAATAAGTTTAAAAAATAAAGTTCGAACATGGACTTAATATTTTACACGGCTCTTCTGTGTAAACAATGTTGCATGGAAAAATCCATTTGTACCATCATTAAGGGATTGTAATTTTTACAATCTCTCACATTAGTGTGGGGCCCGCTAATTAGCGAGCCGCACACTAATATGAGAGATTGTAATTTTTACAATCTCCTAATGATTGTATACTAAGCATTGTCCCATGCCGAATAGATGGTTGAAATCCAAATGTACCCATAAATGTCAGCCTGTGTGACAATTTCAGAGAGGCCATACCAGGTGGAATCTAGTAGGCGTCAAAATGCTATATCATTTAGGCATTTGTATGTGTAGGGCGATGAAAAACATGTGGTGGCCGGCGATGATCAGCCACCGCATAAAGACGAAGCTGGTGGTCCAAGTACAGATGAATCTGCAGCCCACAGCAAAACCCACATTTCTTCTCTTTTAGATTAGAAAAGGACACGGCAAACTGCCAAGTTTTTGCAACATTCGAGGATTGTATATTAAATTTGCCACCACCCTTAATTGGACATCCCATATAAAATGTGTTTCCTCTTATGCTCCGCTGTAATCTATTAAGTCCAAAACAAACCACACCCAACCCTGAAACAAAATAAAAGAAAAATGCGAATACTGAAGTATACTGCCACATGTGGACTCGAGCTGAAAGACCTGGTTTTAGCCTTAATGTCGATCGCTTTCATTAAATCCAATGAAAATCGTGCCAATTTTATATAACCCTGTTAAAAGTATATTTAAAAGTCGATCTCACTTGCTAAATAATGGAATGAGTTTCACGTAGCGAATTTCTCAATAGAATCAGGGCCGGCCCCGAGAATTTTGAGACCCTAGGCGACTAATTATTACGAGGCCTTAAACATAATTTTCTACAAGTGGAGCAACACTAATTTTGACAGCCTGCCTCATTGTTCAAAAGAAATTCGTGAAACAGCCCTTGAAATTGTGTTCGGTCTAAGAAAATTATTCTTTATATCTTTCAAGCCGATTCGACCTCTTTAAGGGATTGAATGCGTTTAAATTTACAAATTCTACGTTGCTTACTGAAAATAAACAAATACACAAATTCCACAACATACACTTTGACCGATGAATGGCTGCTTCAAGATCTAATTCGAGGCCGAATGAGTA